TGAACATATAAACTGTACACAATTTTATATATTATTTATATTTCATATATTATATATACTTAACAAAACGTCTTATCTGAGGATCCATTAGAAAAACAATCGCTGATCAGGAAAATAATTTTCCGCATTACGAGGTAGATTAGTCGATACGTGTGAAAGGCTGAAGGCGTCCCGCCTTCAGCCTTTAATTTTAAGGCTTCGGAAGGCAATTTTTCTGCTCTTTTCATAGTTAAGACTATGAGACAATTAATTACAGCAAAGTATTAAAAGCATTTTCAATAAGTCTGTGTTCGCCTTTACGATAATATTTTCTTGGAAGATGTTCTGAAACAAACAAAAGAATGACTTTCATATTGTTTCGGGCTTTAAATTTCATTAATGTATAGCTAAATGATTGAGCTACGACGTATAAAAATATCAAAGCGGGTACAAAAGTTACACTCTTTGAAATAAGCGGAAACATCTAAAATGTTACTTAAATATTACACATTTTTTGAAAACAAATTTCTAATGTAAAAATTAAATATTTGGTTGTAATAAAAATCATCAATTATCAAGCATGTTTAACTTTAGGAGATGTTTTATCAAGGGCAGTAAAAATGCAACTGATAGGATCTGCGAATGCGAAAACCTTCAACTTTTGATTAATGGCTTTGTGGAATGCGAGTAACTTACCACATATATTTCACCTCCGATGACTGATCGATTTGGCATATTTGGCGTAAACAATTCCTGAAATCTTAGCCTAAAAGGGGTTGTTTACCATCAATTAATGTTATTTCAAAGAATTTGAAAGTAAGTTTTGCTCCCTATTCTAAATCCGTCACCGCAGCAAAACCGTGCTGTTAATTAATTGACTTCCATCGAATCATTACTATCTACGAGACGTTTATATGACTAAGGCAACAAAGCTATACCCTATGAATATAAGAATACTAAAATAATATTATTGTTTGAATCTACGAAAATGGATGTGCTCTACCAATAAATCACAGATAGCACAAGTATTCGTTTGTAAAAACATGGTCTTTTATGTCATTTATATAAGCTGAAGATATCTATTGTATTTACAACTGTAAGTTTCCTAAATCCAATAAGTTACCTGAACGCACGTTTCGGAAATAGGTTTTTAACAAATATATTGTTTTCGCGCTACTGTCTGAATGTGGCTAGAATCCGAACCTTCGACGTTCACTAACAATTTATGTATAGATAGAACGGAATAAAGACTAATTGTTCGGTGAATTCTTTTACAAAATATAATATGTATTATATTAATAATAATTTATTTAAAATAATTTATTATTTTCTTAGGCTTGAGATTTAATTCGTTTCTCAATTTCACTGACGTGTTTAATGTTGAGTATTTTTGATATTTCTGGACATGGTGGTTATTTCAATATAACTAAGTAGGCCTGCGATGCGATTACAATATTCGAGTTATTTAAAGCTGTGATACGGGAATCCTTATTACTGATAAACGCAGATGTTTTAGAATCTCACACACACACATATATATACACACACACACACAATCGATTCACTTAGTATAGTTGCATTTGAAGAAGCGAGAAAACCCCAATTACTGACTGTGTTAGTTCAATATTATGCTGATAGGTATCAATGTATAAGAAAAATAAAATAAAAAATAAACCTGTCATCAAATATAGAGATGTCATTGTCATTAATTGTCATTGTGCTAATTAACAATTTCGAGAACAGTGTAGGCACATACTCCACACGCTGCCAGAACGCCTGGCGTGGGTGGAGAAGAGGCGTAATCTTGAGACGGTGAGACGTAATCTTGAGTACTCAGGCGCCGGAGGTCGTTGGACGATCTCCGTCATCCATAAACGCCGGCCCCACATAGGAGGGGTCATCTACAAGCCGTAGATGGCCCGGGGTCTGCACCCGAGACGGCGTGCGGTTTTTTGTCGGTTCGAGTCCGACATAACTAACACGGTGGTATCCGAGTGGATTTCCGCACAGAAAAAAAGGTAGACAGTCGGCTTATAAAATTAAGTAGATAAGTTCACATGTTTGCTTTCAAGTCGTCCTAGAATCGCCAGACTTTGATGTGCTTACGCGCCTGTTGATTAGTGACTGCTAAACTGGAGGTCGTGGGTTCGACTCCCAAACAGAACAAATATTGTGTGATGAGAACGGTCATTTATTCTATGTCTGGCTGTTTATCTTTTTTTGTTTGTTGTTTTTTAGAAGGCACATCCGCATTAGGAATATATTCCTGTGTCACGGGGGACTTTACAAATATACATGAAACGGTTACAAAGAACACCCAGACTCAGAACAACAACTTGTGGATCACACAAAGTGTGGTCCCATGTGGGGATCGGACCCACAACACACAGCGTAGTAGTGAGCGGCGTTCTATAATATGTATGCATTTTATCGCGGCGGTTATCTATAATATGTATGCATTTAAAAATATAAAAGTATGTTTATGGGCAGTCTGGTTATTATCGTACAGGCTCTGTCTAGTTTGGGATGAGACGGCCGTGTGTGAGATGTGTGAAGTTATTATAGTTATAGTTACTTGATGGCGACATGCCTGCTCCATAAAACTGGGAGCAACTCGAACCATATGTGTCGACTACGTGTTTATTGGAAGCAGTGTATAAACTTGCCACATAATTTTGTATTAACTCTCTCAGTGCCCTATCAGCGACCTAATGGTTAGGTTTTAGATTATGAAGTCCATTTTGTTACTCAGTTTTTTTTGCCGATTATGATCATATACGACAAGGAATTTCCATTGCGGACTCGTGGTCACAACGGTTCGGTGACACCGACTCCAAAAATAATAATAATTGTAACTACATTATATTCATTTAATTTTTTCATTTAATTTGCTTCGCTATTGCATTGGGTTTGTAACCTATAAAAATAGATGTAAGTTTGGTTATAAATAAATAAATAAAATAAGTGAATAAATAAATAAATAAATTTACTTAGGAGAACTCAAAAAATATTTCGATCGTTGTTTGTTATTCATAGGTATATGTTGAGTTACATTTGAAGTGGGTAAGTACCCACCTTCTTGCGTGGTAAACACATAGATCGTACTTACATATTGATGAGTAGAAAAAGTAAGTTGATTATTAAGTTGTAGAAGAATATGCAGTTATTTTTTTTCTTTTTAGTGCAAAATAGTTTATTTTGGAAGTGTTTTTTGAAGTCGGTTTTTTTTTTGTTAAAAATTTTGTTTATTTCAACTAAAAATCACCACAATTTATAGATTGGTAAAATTAAAGTAAAATAATTAAAATAAATAAAAACAAATAAGATATATAATATTATTGCGTCGATGTACTTTTATCAACTCACCTTTAAACAAGCCTTTTTTTGAGGGAGAGTTAATTAAAAATAATATAAAGTGAACTAAACAAAGAAGTGAATACATTTCCAAATATAAGTTTATGTATTGCCATATAAATAACATGTAAAGGAACGTACCCATACTGCGTGACCCATATTTTACAATTTTTATTCCCCCCCTTCCTCGGTAACCACCCGTAGTGTATGCCAGGACCCCTTTAGTTAATTTTCACGACCATTAATCGATCTGTTCAGTTTTTGTCCCCTTTCTGCCTTCGTTCCTAAATGTAACGCCCAGAGTAATTTGTAGAGATTTGCTTCCTTTTTAGAAATACCTACTTTTTATTCGATTTTTGGCCATTTTATGAGTTTGATAGGTAGTTAGGTAGGTAAAAAAAAAACAATATATAGAGAATTGTCTTTTTCCATCCTTTTTTAACCAACAAAGTTACCCTATTAGTCGACCCTCTTTAAAGAAACCCTGCCCGCTTTTTTCAGTTTTCTTCCATTAGTCACACGATAACACAAAGACATTTATTATGTGGGTTATAAATAATGTAACCCTTTCACATACTAAATCACTTATGCTTTTTTTTTCCTGATTTCCTAGAGGTTCGCATATTTGTCCAAGTCTCAGACTAACAATTACTTCTTATACCTGACTGTTTTTTGCGGAGTATTTTTATATGGTATAGGGCTATATGGTATATGGTTATTAGATCTGAATCTAATAATAAGGATAGGATTTAACTCTGTGTGTACTATTTCCCGACATCAACCATTACGACCGCGGCCCGCCAGGCCTGGGTCTTAATTCTGCTATTGAATTGCATATTTAATTAGAAACCAACTGAAAAATATGTAGGTAATAGGCGTTGTAATTAAAATCGTGTCGAATCAGTTTTACTCGATCGTCACAACTTCGTTCCTATCGGGTGTCCCACGACACGGCTTTTTATATAATTATTTTAATTAATTAATTTATTTTAATAATTTATTTTAATAAAAACTAATAAATCATTTCCTCAAAAACGTAATATATTTTCAACTACCGATATTTATACCGATGCCAATGGCCACTCGATGGCATCTCAATAGCGTGTCAGTGGTATGACACCGGCTTGGCGTAAACATAAAATAGCAGAATTGAGGCCCTGATCACCTCACTTGGTCGGAGGATCCTCCTTTGTATTAGAAGGACATGAGACCAGTTCCTCCACAGCCACATGATTTTTATTTTGCCATTTTTAGTAGAATAAGTTGTTGCCGTAAATTACATTTTTTTTTAAAGAAAACACAAAATAAGCACACATTTGATCGTAAGTATGATTATTGTTCAATGGAATGGATAGAGAAAATTAGCTTTAAGTCAGGAAAATTTTGACGGAAATAATTAAAAAAAAATGTTTTTCTATCTCCGTTTGATCCTCTTTATTAAAAAAAAACACTCAAGTGTATGTATAATATCACATAGCCAATTGATTTATTCACTTTAGTATATTTAGTAAATGTAATTATTTCAGCAGAAGATCTTTCAGTATAGTGACAATGGAAACGTTAGTCCAGCCCACTTATCTTACCTATCTAAAATACCATATTAATTATTTAAAAGTTATTAATCTTAAATTATACATTTTTTATACAGTTAAGTCTAACTAACGGTACTATGTAAGCTTTTTTATAATTTCACTTATCGACGCGTAACAACCAGAAACTAATACGATCACATAAAACACCAACAGCAGTATGTTTTTCCATAATATATACTTAAATTTGCCAAGCCCACGTTCCCACTTATGGACAGTTTGGACTGCTACTGGGATCAGAAGACCCAATGTTGAGAAGAAGATAGCACCAACCAAACCAATCAGGAGTTGTAGGTCTGGTACTGCCACTGCCAGGATAACTGAAAATAAGTAGGAAGACAGATAAATAATGAGACAGAAACTACCATTTTCAATTATTGTACCATTGTACACATTTTGTTATATTTAAAAAAATATTTGAAGTCGTCTTGTACGTTGTAGTACGTAGCGACGTACTCACGACAAAATACCTCGTCAGAAGTACAAAATATCTGCGAATTTAATGTAATATTACAAGAGAACTTGAAACTAAAAACGCAGTATGGTTTTGAAAAAAGAATTATTCACAAGTAAATGAATGAATGAGGAACGAGTTAATTACAATTCACTCGCACTCACACTTACTTTTCTGTGTGGTTACGGACTAAGAATACGAAGTGTCACCACTCCTATTCATCCCGTAAGTGTCGTACAAGTCGACTAAAGGAGTAAAATATGCAGGACAACAGCACTGCAAAGAGAAGGAAAACTTGACACAAACCCTATACAACCTTTCCAGCCAGCGGTGTATAGTAGGTCAAAACCTCTTTTCTAAGAAGAGGTCTATGCTCAGCAGTGGCCTATTAAAGGCTGTTGATGATGGTAACGATGACACTAAGAAACGCGTGATAATATACCTACCAACCTGAAAACACACACCTGTAAACCTGTGTTTGCCGTGTAGAAAGGCAATGGGCCTTTAATAAATAATAATTTAAAGTTTCATGCGAAAATTCTGAATGATCCCAGTAGATAAAACAAAAATAAATAATATTAGAATAACGCTCAAATATCAATAACGGCATGACGGCATTTAATGGAGATACACACAATAACACAATTTACATTGCTTTAAGTAAAATAGGATAGTATATATCATTGTTTCTCTTTAAATAATATATTGAGTACATATCATATTATATAGTAGCGCTGATTTATATTTACATATATACATGTATGTCTATGTTACGCCCGTGACATTGTAAATAGCTCAGGTAAACTACTTCAATTATTATTAAAAGTAACAATTCGTGGTTTCGATGCCGTTATCTGTAAATAATTGTTGAAGGTGGTCGCTATTATTGTACCCGTATGGCAGTCTTTTATCAACGCCTCCGAGTTCACAGAGCGCAAATGATTAGTACATTACAAATTCAGTAAACTTTGTTAACTTTATCTTTCTCAGAGATAAATTAGTTATTTTGTTCGTGGGTAGCTCCGTACCAAAACATTCGTGTTCAGACATCATTTTCATTCTTAGTTATTTGAATAACGTCTATACGAGTACACCTTTTTTTTTCCGTGCGGAAATCCCCTTTTTTTTCCGAGTAAAACCGCACGCCGTCTCGGGTACTAATAGCCGGGGAACCAGGTATACCCTAGAAAGGAAGTCCCTGGTGCCTCGACGTACCTCGGGCCATCTACAGACGAGTAGACAACCACCCCATGTGGGAACCCCATGTTCCCTCTGCTCCCTGGAAGCGAGCTTCGCAACGCGCTCGCCGCCACCCCGGCCTGCTTCTGCTAGGGTGACAGATGGCCTCACCTGTCAACCCCAGGCCTGCGCTTATGGAGGACGGAGGTCGTTCTGCGACCTCCGTCCTCCTAACTTGCTCACAGAAGGTGACGGCAGAGTTTTACGCACTCACGCTCCGCACGATAGCCGCAATCAGGCTATCGAGCGAGAGAACTCCCACTCCGATGGCCGCCACGAGGTCTCGCCTCTGCTCAACCCACGCCGGGCACTCTGCCAGCGTGTGGAGAGCCGTGTCCACGGTCTGGCCATTCCGAGACGCCGAGAGAGAGGGTCCCGTGACGCCTCTCGAGCCAATCCTCCATAACGGGTCTTACCGCCGCGATGACGGCGTGCCCGTATACGAGTACACCTCACTTGAGATAGCATGTTTTTTTGAATATCTACTGCAACAATACAACGCGCAATACTATTTAAATTACTGTCTATTTTGAAAGTTATAAAGCACAGGTGAAAACACTGACATATACTCTTAACTATACTTTTTTTTTACATCGTGAGTAAAAAATACAATAACGCCGCAGATTCATCACGATAAAATGTTTATTTGGTAACTTTAATGACTGAAATCCATTAAGAGAAAGAGCGTGATAACTGAGGTTTACGTAAGCACTCGCACGCATGCATACATGCACACACGCCATCTCACATATATGCTCGCACGCTAGCACGCATGCATGCACGCGCGAATGCATATGCATTTGCACATATGAACGGTAATTATAACTTCCATCTTTCATTTATGAAAAATAAAACGTTTACCAGTTAAACAAACACTAGTAGTTCGTAACACAATCTGGCTAACGTTGTGGTACTCTTTCCTGATCTTGGGTCTTATCCTCGTCCAAATGATATCCATGGGTGCGTACATTTGTAAGCAATAAGTGAAGAACACCGCCACTGCCACAAGCACCTTAGCAATCAACGCCAATCTGGAAAAGAAAATTGATATTATAATATTTATTTATACCATTCGTATACTTTCAGTTAATTGTTAGAATTTAGTTTAACGGAATGTCTTGCTTAAATCAATGAAAACTTTCGATGTTCAATACTACAAGGTGCCACAAAGGTGGATTTTCCTCTGCCACGAATCCGCAATGCCACCGGCCCCATGTGGGAATGGTCTGTCAATAAGATCTCCTCAGACAGTACTATTGTAATATCAGCTTATTAGCTGAAGCTTATTCATAATGTAATAAAATAACTCTTAAAAATTATCGATGTTTGTAAACTCGTGGTATAGAATCAACGGCTTAATAGTTTTTTTTTATTATGAGGTCGGTTGAGTTCTGAGAGATTCTTTGAGTCCAAGGCTATGTATTGCCCTGATGGCAGCATGTAGAGAGTTATCCTAACACTTAAAAACAGGAATAAAGCGGTAGTAATGGTAAGATATTACAATATAACATTATGCAAATCATGTTCGTATAAAAACTTATCGAAGTTGTTTCAGCTTTATATATACACGGTGATTTTGAAAGCGTTTTGGAAAAGAAAATTTTGAGTTATTTATCAGTAACAGAAACTATATATAACGTTAATTTAATAAAATATATATATTTTTTATCATCAAAGTCGATATTCATATCGATTACAGAGAAAAGGTGAGAACCAGTAGTAGGGCTTTTCAATCGCAAGTAGGTAAATACTACGAATAGAAATACTATACTAACGCGCAAGGTCAAGGACGTTTAAATTATTATTCGCCGGAGTGTAGTGCGTGCATACCTGGACAATGAGTTTAGTGATCGGTGGATAGGTCGAGGAGGGCCAGTGCCTTGGCCACCTAGAAGCCCGGACTTAACGCCCCTGGATTTTTTCTTATGGTCGGAAATAAAAATACTTGTTTATACACGGGAATATGAAAGCCGTAATAATTTACGCATTGTGATAGTGGACGCTTTTGATAAAGTGAAAAGTGATAGAGACACATTAAGAAAATTAAAAAACAATTGCATTAAACGTGGACGTTTGTGTATTGAATGCAGCGGACTCCATTTTGAGCAGTTGCTTCGATACAGAGAAGTGTAAATAGTGTAAATAGGTATGTAAGTTAATTATTCTGTAGATAGCTCCGATTTTTTAAATACGCTTGAAATATTTATACCTACAGTCCGTTGATAAATTGATTTGTTGTGAAAAGAACAATCGTGGTTAATAATCGAAAAGAAGTTTAAATAAAATAGGTATTTCCGACGATCCTAAGCCCGTGTAAAGTATGAAAGACAAATTGGAGTCTATCTACGTAAGTACTCGCTAGCTCGCGCCTATAGGTATACTTTTATCAGCTGCTGTTAGCGTCAGCGGTGCGCAGCGGCCGCCGAAACGCACGTGTTTAAGATAATGAATGAATGATCAGTCCATTACTACTTTCCAAGTCGATGGAGTAAAAATGAATATTAAAACTGAAACTTTTTTTTAGACAACATTACAATTGATTTAATCATTTTTATTGGTACTATAGATGATTCCAAATTAAAATGTTTCGTTTCCAAAACGCCTAAAAAATCACCGTGTATATTAAGCGACTTCAATAGAAATGCTTTGTTCATACAAAAAAAAACGAGTAATATAGACCGTAAGTCCTCATTCAATAATAATACCGCAGTGAAGCACTATAACGAAATAAAAGAAATAAAAGATATTCCCGCCAAGCGTTAGGTTCCGTACGATGAATTGCAAATCATAAGTTGGTTAAAATATCATATAAGTAAAATATATAAGTATATTTCCTAGCAAGCTTGCTAGAAAATAAAAGTTGGCTGGCAAATGGACTGTAAGAGCTGTTAAATGGCCAGTGACAGAAGGCACAAGGAAAGGTCGACCTGGCGCCCGATGTAGTAGTAGACATAGTATTGACTATCGGTTGAAATTGGTCATTCACAGCCATAAACAGGATGTCAGGGTTTTAAAGGAATACATACTCTTTTAAGTTAACTGTCTAAGGCACGTTGGCAGAAAAAATGCAGAACGACAGGACGAAGTAGCTTTGCAACGAACAACTCTGAACTACATTCAGTTAAAAAAGTTACCAAACATACGGTTTATAGTACTTAGTTCTTTTAACTCAGTTCTTTGGATTGCGTAAAGCTGACGTTCTATATACTATCATTATCTGTATGCTCTAAATGTACCTATCATTAAATAATTCTGAATTGGTAAGGTTTCTGTTATGGCCATTACATGAAGTATTATTTTGATTAAAGTTTTAAACAGTAGTGTCATTGATGTTTTATAAAATATTTATGTAGCTATGTATACCTATTACACAGAAGTCTCTTTTACTTCAAATATATTGAAGCATAAATTTTGATATTGAGACCTTCAATGAGCCCTTTAATTTGATACGTCATAGGGTTGCAATCACGTTCCTTTGATTATATGATTCTGTTGTGGCCTCCAAAACGACCATCATATACGAAATTTATATCTTTACTATGCATGTATAACTTCAGATAATAAGAATTATTACGTGTACAAAGTTTCAACTTAATCGGTCCAGTAGATGCAGAATATATTGTCCGCAACAAACGGGACCCCTTATAAACTCATATAACAAAATTTTCTCGTCTTCATCATCTTTTGTTCGTTGCAAAAGAATAAAAACCACAGTCTTTATTCTTTTGCTCTTTACTCACAGCCTTGACATACAACGGCCCTTGGAAAATTATAGCGTAAATAAATGAGTATCATTGGAATTAGATTTATATTATGAAGTCACGTTAGCGATTGGTGTAGAACGTGAACAGATATGTTATATCTTCGAAAATAAATTAATATCTAAATGGCCTGAAAGCTGTCTAACGTCGTACCGTATATAAAAAATTATCGTACGCGTAAGCAATAAAGTACACCTACTACAATGACCCGTCTGCTTGTTTTCAAGGTCACAGCTTGAAGAGCAGCAAACATAGGTGAAGACTATGTGTATGAATATACTATGTTGCTATCAACAAATGTGTAGTTACTAAAAAGAATAACGACGACCACAAATTGCATACCCTACAGGATATTTTATTTTTTCTTTTTTTGCACATTTGACACAACGGAAGGACTATTAAAGGCTGTTGATGATGATTTTAAATTTACGAATTTATTATTAACGGTCACTTAATTTTACCATTGCACATTTCATTTTATTACGCAACTATAATTTAAATAATTTTCTAGGTTAGTTTTGCCAGAATTTAAGAAGCCTATTGGTCCGGTTAATCTAGGCTACAGAAAACTCGTACCGATGTCTTACCAATTTTTCCTACAGCCAGCCAATAAAAAATATTGCAAACTTGTCAATTAAAATACAAATTTATATCAAACGATTGAAGGTAAACAATATAAATCCTTTAGTTGCCATGCGAACGGTGAAAATATTCTTTAAAAGGTTAAGATCATGTTCTTGGTTCGTTTCGTTCCCAACAATAGATTTGCTTATCTCGCGTATTTTCAAAAGTATCGAAGGATTTTCACTGTTGCTACATCTTTATATCGATAGGGTGTTTATTGGTGCGTTACAGACAAACGGCTGTGAATATCACTCGTTAATATATTTTGGAGTTTTATTAAATAACATTCAAATAGACAGGTTGCAAACAAGCTCTCCGTGTGGTGACGGATTAAGAATAGGTCATCATCCTGTGGGTGTCGTAAGAGCCAACTAAGAGAGCAAACAACGCAGGACAACAGCACTGCAAAGAGTGGGAAAACTTGACATAAACCCTATACCAATCTTCATCTGGTCAGCTTGGTATAGTAGGTTAGAATCTCCTTTCTACCGAGAGGCTTATGTCCAGTAGTGGACTATTAAAGGCTGTTGATGTGTAACGCTTTTACGTGCTAACGTTTAATCATGATATTTTGTACACGGGTTGCCATGGATACAGGAATAGACAGGTTCTAAGTATTGGGTATGGTACGATTATTTAAAAAATTGAATTACTTGCAAAGTATAGTATTTTTAATGCTTCGTTACTCAAAAGAAAAATATCACTGTGTTGTCTGACTGTATGTCTATCTGTCAGTCAAAACGCCCTTAGGACTTTTTAAGCCTAAAAATTTAGTAAGTTATCTTAAAAGCTTTGAATGTTTATTTCGAAGGCCAGTATAACTTGGACCTTTGTGCACAATATACTATATATATTTTTACATGATTTTCACTTTATAGCACATATTGCCCAAAATTGAAATAAATATACATTAAGAATACACATTAAGTATTCCAAATATGATAATAATATGCTTTCACGCATCATATTTATTTAAAAAGAGTATTCTGTGCGTGTGCACCAGCACTGCACTGCACAGAAGAAGGAAAACTTGACACAAACCTTATACCAACCCGTCTGGCCAGCGTGGTATAGTACGCCAAAACCTCCTTTCTAAGGCGAGGCCTATGTCCAGCAGTGGACTATTAAAGGCTGTTGATGTGATTCTGTGCGTGTTAATATGCAGAACTCGATCAAATACATTTCTTAGCCGTGAAGTTGCTCAGTTTCTTTAAAACAAACGCAACCCGTTCACTGTGCAGTGTTAGAATTAAATTGTGTATGTTGGTTTAAAATATTTATTCTCATTAAGAATTATGATACAATTTAATTAACATGAGAACATAATTAATAATAATACACTATAATATTTTACTTGAGAGTAGATTTACATAAAAGAGGTAGCAAAATAATAATGTTTTTAACTTGGAGCGTAGACAGAAATAACACTACGAAGATGTAACATTTTAGTGCGCTTCACTAGAAGCGACATTTTAATTTTTGTAATCAATATCGTATGATGACAATTATTCATAAATGTGTTTCACGATCGGATGGCGTTGTGGTTTGTGTAACGGGCTGATATTCCAAAGGTCGCGGGTTTTTGGCTATATATGTTTGACTTGAGCGGGTTCCCGCTCTAGTCAAACATATGTATGTGTTCATGAACTTCTAATATTTGATTTGGTCTGGGTGTTTCTATGTATCATATGTATGTATTTAGAAAAAAAAGTGTATTTGTATTTATATCAGTTGTCTAGTAGCCATAGTTAAAGCTCTGCTTAGTTCGGGACTAGATGACGTTGTGTGAATGTGGTAGAATATTATTATATATTTATTTAGCTAAATCGTTCGTTGGTCTGATTGATATTAAGATTCAACCACAATTAATTATAGTTTTTGATTACATGATCCTTAAGATTTTTTTTGAAAAAACGAGATGGATTCTGATTCCACAATATCTTTAGGAAGCCTGTTATATAACTATGCGCCTTTATGCATTAGATTCTTTTTACCAGAGTTAGTGCGGGGTGGTCTCAAAACCATGTTATTAGCACTTCTTAGTTAAGTCTATTTTTCTGGTAAAACTTATTTGTGTATTGATATGCCCGGCCAATACGAATACGAATAAAATTACGAACCAATAATCAGGTATAGTATACGTAAGTCTGGGTTAAATTTAGTATTTTTGTGTTTCTATATATACCTTTAGTAGGCGTTAGATAATCAACGTGAAAAAGGACCTTTATTGGCTTATTTCGAGCTCTTTGTAGCATGTTTTAGTTCTCAAATCTCTGTTAGATATTCAATATGGAGCTTCACAAGAGATCTATATATAAAGTAACGCACTTTACGTGGCAGACATCGTGAGATGACTCTTAGAGTTCCTGTGAGAGATAATAGTTTGGATTTAAGTATTTCTATGTGACTTTGAAATGAAAGGTTGCTGTCAATGCCCATAATATTTTTCGCTATCAGTTCGATTGATACGTTGGTCACCTATTTTAAGGGAAGGATAGGATATGTACGTTTTCCAATGTCCAAATTTCGTACATTATTAGACGTGAAGTTGGTAATTTTCCCTAAAACAAATGCAACCCTTTCACTGTGTACAGGATCAGAATGAAAATGTGTATGTATGTACAAATTTCGTACCTAACGAATAATTATATTAAAACAAAAATGTACACAAATATAAAGTATACTTTTAATTAAATATAGGTACTTACAGTTCATCCTGAGGCAAATTCAGGGTTATACTTCCGAGAACTGCATCACCATACTTCAGGTAACCGAAGATGCCCATTATACCATACAGCAGTGCCACAAACACCATGGTAACGTTCAGAACACTGGGACACCCCAGGAACTGCTGTGGTTTTGCCATCTCGTTCTCGACTGGCATTACCACGTTGATACCTTCCATTGCAAATATTGCGGTACTGGAACAAGAAAAGGTTTTAATTAATAATAACAAGAAACTTGTCACCTTACACACCCTGTTTTATCTCAAATTAGGCAGAGACAGTACCATGGTAACCAAACTATGGTAACCAGTAGATAAACGTACTTATATATTACTAAATACATACACTTAAAGATAAACTAAACCCACATTAAGAATAAATGATCGTGCTTATGACACAATTTTAACTTCTACGTGGGAATCAAACCAACGAACTCTGGCTAGCTGTCAGGATTACTAACTATTAGACCAGTCATGGGCAAACAACGGGCCTGCGGGCCATCTCTGACCCGTAATACCGTCGATTTAGTACGTTCAATCAAAATCTATATATATATATAAGAAATTTCTACGTATATAGTCACTCATCACGATATCTCTAGAACCATTAGAGCTAAAGACTTGAAATTTGGTAGGAATATTCTTTTCACCGAGTAGAGGTCAGCTAAGAACGGATTTTACGAAATTCAAAAAAAAAAACAAAAAAATAATGTAAATAGCAAAACAACGTTTGCAGGGTCAGCTAGTAATTAATAAATCAATGTGTTCAATGTCAATCGTTGTCTTGAGAATACGCGTATTTCAATTTTTCAGAAATGGCTTTGTACGCGATATTACAATACACTACATGCTAGTACCCGCAGTAAAACTGCGGGAAACCACAAGTGCCAACTTCTAATGTTACACGTTCTACTATATGTAATAATGTATTCTCATGGAAATTAATGCGATCACGTTCTAGGTATTACATTACAAGAAATGTAAAACGTGATGGTGTTGATTCCGAAATTTGGCACGAGATCCCTTTTCTAAAATAAACTGATACATCAGATAGCCAAATTACTGCACACTTCTGAACTTGTCAAGTTTTTTTTTTAAAGTGCAACTATGATACTTTCTACTAAAATATAAGTAACTAAAATATAATTGACGACCGGATGGCGTAGTGGTTTCTGTAACGGACTGCTATTCCAAAGGTCGCGGGTTCGATTCCCGCTCAAGTCAAACATTTGTGTGCCTGAACATTTAATGTTTGATTTGGTCTGGGTGTTTCTATGTATAATATGTATGTATTTACAAAAAAGTGTATATGTATTTATATCAGTTGTCTAGTAACCATAGTACAAGCTCTGCTTAGTTTGGGACTAGATGGCGTTGTGTGAATGTGGTACAATATTATTATTATTATTATATTTATTATTATTATAAGTCATTCTTATAACAAGTTGGTACACGTAACACAACTAATACAGTGTCTTGAGACTTTCAAATGAGAACTTTTGTTAATTAATAGGGGTCGATTTTTAGACCTCGTCGATCCCAAATTTTCGTTTATATCCACCCTTCGATATCGACTATCTTGGGAATCCCTGCTCTAGTACATAACTATACGTTAATGAAGTAAGTCCGTATAATTAAATCGAAACTGTTGCCACCGTTAGCCAAAGCTTACGCGGTCGCCACGCCGCTTCCTACTACGCCGAGTGTTGCGGGTTCAAACCCCACATGGGACGACACTGTGTTATCCACACAGGATGAATAGGGGTGGTGACACTCTATATTCTTAATCCGTCACCACACGGTTGATCTTAGTTTCGAAAATTACTTCCTAATAGCCTTTTTTTCGTAATAAGTAATAAACTGAAAAAAAAACCGTGTAATGAAATTTCGATATGAAAGTGAAGCGAACTTCGTTAAAACATTGAGTTATTTTCTAACATTCTAATATAAGTAACGAGTTGTAAAAAGAAATTGTAAACGTACTTTTTAGATATTAAAAGGTAGACGGCGATTTACCGATAAATAAATATTTTTATAATTCCATGAGATATTTTTTTCAGTGAAGAAATACGGCCGGTAACACACCTTAAGCGGCAATTTCTTCCATCAGGTGAGCCGTCTGCTCGTTTACTCCCGTTATTCAAAAATATCACGACGGGCAAGACGGATCGGTATAGGGATTTCTTCAAGTTTTTTTTTTTTGCATTGCACTTGTCCTGCGTATTTTATTCGCTTAGTTGGCTCTTGAACTGATGAATAGTGACACTGTATTCTTAGTCCGTCAAAATAAGGAAAAATAAGGAAAACCAGTGCAGATTAAAATAAATAAATACAAGCCTTAAAAAAAAAAAAACTTTGATTCCTTAAAACTTGCCTTTACTCTAGGAATTAGCACTGATGTTCACCACAAACATATCATTACTGACTGTCTATTGCCTACAGTATTGTTTATTTCATTTCTTATTTCATGTTTCTATTTCTACTACTTTGAAAACGACCAATTTCCATCGGTCTTCCCTTATTTTACCCCCTTACAAAAATATTTTCTTACGTACGTACGTGCTTACAACATATAAAGCATCTTCTGCCAAAATTTCAAGTTGTGTAGTAGCCCTAGTGATTTATGCTTCAGGATGTTTTATATTATATTATGTGTATTAAAAACAAAAATGTCAACAAAATCTATTAAAGTTTTTAATGAAGCACTTACTGCCTTATGGTTAGGGGCGAAGGCATTGTAAAATGAGGACTAAAAGCTTACTAATTGTGACCATAAAGCAATTTAGTATCAAAATACAAAGACCTCGCTTAAAAGGTTTCTGAAAACGCAGATTACGTATACATATTTAATTATATATTTTAGAATTTAATTTAATTATTTCGCACATCTAACACACAACGCCATCTAGTTTCAAACTAAACAGAAACTTGTACTATTGAAAGCTAAATTGACTAATAGAATAATTAAATGCTTTTTTTGCATATTATACCTACATTTAGTGTTTAATGACCCTAAATATTGGGACTCCAACGATAAATGAATATGAATGAGTGGGCGCTAAAGATAAAGATATATTTATTTGCATAACATGTGTGTGTACAACAATACTTAGTCAGAAATATACAGGTCTTAATAACAAATTTTTAGAATCAACATGTTCAACCATAAAAGATGTACAAATATGGTAAAAGAATCAAATACAAAATAGTTATCAATCAAATTAATTAAATGCATAATAAAAGAAAAGAAAGTGTCAAGAAATCAAAATTACAACAAATGCTTCAGACATTATCTTCTCTCTTCTTCTTTCTTTTCTTCTATCTCTTCATTTTCTCTTCATATATATACTACAACAAATATTTAACAACAAAATATATATTAAATAAAAAGAAAATACACAAATCCCATACATGTCAACACTACTTTCACAACTATAACAAAATAGAACGTGTTTTTATACTGTGTATAGATGTGGTCAAGTAGTCAAGTTCTTTACTTGTATTATCTTCAATTCATATTAGAATTTAAAACTTAGCTTGATAAATATAATAAGTAATAATAATATAAGTGATCAAAACGCTGGAGACAAGGTTTAAGCCACTACAGATATCTCTGTTCATTTCTTGATTCTTATTTGTTTAAGTGGATGTAACTGGTGGTGTCTATGTAGTCCCATGATTACCTCTAGTAATTATTTGAAAGAGTCACGTAGTCGTAACAACGATCACAGGTAATTTAGTTTTAGCTTTGCTGTTATACAATATTTGATCTCGAACAGAAGTGAACTCCCACTTGTGACATTGAGCCTGTCTTTTCTGTAAGTCTGTGTGCGTCTCTAAGCCTAGTTAAATACAATTTATTGAAAAGTTATACAAAAAGGCCGGTAACGCGCTTGTGACTCCTAAGTTGCAGGCGTTCATGGGCGGCGGTAACCACTTTCCATCAGGTGACTTGCTTTTTTTTTTCGTTTGTGCCCTATCCGTACTAATATTATAAATGCGAAAGTGTGTCTGTCTGTCTGTTACCTCTTCACGCCTAAACCACTGAACCGGTTTAGATGAAATTACAAATAGGACAGACATAAGATAGACATAGGGTAGTTTTTATCCTAGAAATCATCCTTTAAGGGGGTGAAAAGGGGAGTGGAAGTTTGTATAGGGAATCAATAACCGCTGAACCGAATTAGATTAAATTTAGTATGGACTTTATTTTTTAAAACTACTTTTTACCGCGATAACCAACATTTACGCGGGCGGAGCCGCCATTGCTATCGACTGTATATTTTTATTCTGTATTTCTTGTTCTAAAATATTTATATTTGTGTTTATATATCTGAAAAATTATTTATGGTTTATTAATGTTCAATAACTCTCAGTTATGTTTAGTTTGGGAGTAGATATGTAAGAAAGCCGAGAATATTATTATTTCAATTACTTTTTCCAAGAACTTCTGAAACCCGCCAAGGCACGTGGCTTGCAAATATTGTTTTTGTACGTCAACAAGTAAGAAAAACGTGACATTTCTTTTATTGTAGGATTGGGTAAAGTGATCAAACCATCTGGTGAAAAAGATAATGTGATTTGGTTCACAAGTTCAGTTGTCGTTCGGTTATGGAATCTTTCTTGGAATACGTCAAAATGGGTTTATAGACATTTCAGTGAAGTAACGATTGGTAACTTATTTGTGAATTTTTATGGTTTACTTTTAAACAATCTTTTAATTTCACGTATCAAAGTAAAAGTTAGAAAATATATTCACTAAAAGCAAACAACTAAAATAAAAGAACGTAACCCTTTCTTTGCAACTTCATGTTTCGAGATTTTTTGGTTATTATATAATTTATAATTTCCTCGAGAAACGATTATTATATTATTCAGGCTAACCTAAGATCGTCTCTGGCAAGCCGCAGCGTAATAGTTAAAACTGGAAATTTCGTGTAATGTATACATACGAGTACATTACACGTAATGTATGAATGCTTATTTTCGCTAAGTGGCGCTGAAGTGTGTTTTTCGCCACAATTTCACTACACTGGTGTTAAGGTAACTTTATCCCTTAGTAGATGTCAATTTACATATTTCCGTAAATCTTATTTACTATTACAATGTTTAAGTACCAACAAAACATAAAGTACTGTTAGCAGCATCGTAAATTTAACAGCATCGTTACTTGAATATTATGTCTGTAAATAACGAAATGAAAATGGAATTGATTTACTCTTCGATTCGATCAAATATTATTTCTTTTTAAGTCTTAGTTTCCTTAATTTATGTTCTAGGCGATAGTTAACATTACTAGTGTACTCAAAAAACTTTTCTTAACGTTTTGAGTTGCTAGAAATAACCTGATGTTCTAAATGGCATTTGTTAATGCTGCAATCTTCAATAGAATTTACCACAAAAAAAAAACGATCTAAATTATTGTATTTGTTGATTCTGAAATATCGATTTCAGCTTTATGGAATCAGAAATAAAATTTTGAAGTTGAGACAAAACGTTGGATACTTATACTTAATCAGATACAATTGAATTAACTAAAGTCTATGTGTAAGTGAAAAAACAATTACTTCGTACAGGTTCTTACATTACCTAAAAAGTCTTTGTTCATCGCGATAGTACTTAGGCCTTAGGGTTTTAACCTTGTTTGTGCAAACAACAGTCATTGTATTTTTAGTTTTCTAATTGTAACTGAATTAGATTAGGAGTCATTCGAAAGTACCCGAACATTGTTATTTAAATCACAATCCAAAGGCTTCTTTGACGGGCCTGTTGGTCTAGTGGTTAGTGACCCTGACTGCTAAGCCGGAGGTCGTGGGTTCGATTCCCACCCAGGACAAATATTGTGTGATGAGCACGGTTATTTGTTCTGTGTTTGGGTGTAATTTATCTATAATATGTATGTATTTAAAAATATATAAGTATGTTTATCAGCGGTCTGATTACCATAGTACAGGCTCTGCCTAGTTTGGGATCAGACGGCCGTGTGTGAGATGTGTGAGATATATATATTTTTTTTATTTCTTAAATAAGCTTCACATCAGTTGGTTATTTTTGGATTTTTTTTCGGTAACTAAATTAAACAGACAGATTCAATAATAGTTTATCCTCTCCAGAACCTCTCCACTGTACATACAAATAATAAAATTCCCTGAGATGAACGATTCTTCTTAACCTACCTTTACGGTCATTTTCATATATATTTTTTTAAATGAACTCTCGCATTAGGAATATTCTGTGTCGCCTTTACAAACTTACATGAAACGGACACAAAGAATACCTAGACTCCGAACGACAATTTGTAGATCACACAAAGTGTCGTCCCATGTGGGGTTGGAAAGCACAACACTCAGCCTAGTAGGAAGCAGCGTGTCGACCGCCTAAACCACTACGCCATGCGTGCAGTCTAAAAATCTTTTTTGTTTTTTAATGGTTTAAAGAGCAAACAGCCAGCAGGTCACTTGATAAACGGTAAATTACTACCGTCACCAAGAATCACCAAGGGTTTCGCCGGCCTTAAAATGCCATCGTCAGAATTTAGGGGAAGGTTTAGTGGTCTAGTTACCTTACTGACTGGCAAAATACAACGAGAGGGTTGCTTTTAACATCGGATTTCTGTTAGGCCATGGTATATCACTCTGGTTGATGCATGGTTCTCCCATGGTAAGATTTCAGCTTCGGTTGAATTAGTTTATTCATATAAATTATTGACATGGAATCCATTTCTGAACATAATATTACCATATTGTGGGATAATATTGTATTTAGAACAGATTGTATAATGGTTTCTTTATTACTTCAGCATAAGGGTTACAAAGGGGGTCCGTGTGGTGTCGGATTAAGAATACGGAATGTCACCACCCCTATTCATCTCGCGGGTGTCGTAGGAGACGACTAAGGGAACAAACTACGCAGAACAACAGCACGCCAAAGAGGAGAAAAACTTGACACAAACCCTGTACCAACCCGTCTGGCTAGCGTGGTATAGTAGGCTAAAACCTTCTTTCTAAGGAGAGGCTTATGTCCAGCAGTGGACCACTAAAGGCTGTTGATGAAGGGTTACAAAAAGTTAAGATTTGGTTTTTGTAAATTCATGTTTACGTTTACGTAAGTATTAAGTTTTAATGTTCTACTTACAAAATTTTATTTAGCCTTTGTTTATCATATATATAAAAAAGAAATTGCTGTTAGTCTTACTAAAACTCGGGAATTGCCCGACTGCTTTAGCTAATATTGGTCTTGAAATATTTGTGGAAGTCCAGGGAAAGTGTAAATGGTGAGAAAAAGTGCGAGGAAAACAGTAATACAACAATATTATTTTCCCATACAAAATGTATCTTCATGTCAAACAAGGTATTAAACCTTCGTCGGTACGATAAACTGCCTTCAAATTGGAGAATATTATTAAACAATAGTTTAATAATATTCAATAATCGAAAAAATATTTACACAGTATTCTAAATATCGTGTATTTAGATTTAAGAAACGCAATAAAGAATCGACATATTTGTTGGTTATAAAATATTTTTAAAGAAATTTATTTTGTGACTAAACTTAGAAAGAGATATTACTATATAAAAAAAGTCAATCCTTTGTCATAGTACAACTTACTATAGTTAAAATATTCTGTCATCAGTTTATTAATAACTTAGTGCGAGAACTTTTAGTTCTTTTTAAATACACACCTATATACTTTTAAAATATATTTAAATACGAGTATGTATATTTGATCTTGGTGATACAAAGTTCACCGGGTCATATAGTATTAAATATTTTAATTTAAACACGGAGTGGTTTGTGTAACGGCCAAAGGTCGCGGGTTCGATTCCCGCTCAAGTCAAACATTTGTGTGCTTGAACATTTAATGATTGATTTGGTCTGGATGTTTCTATGTATAATATGTATGTATTTACAAACAAGGAGGTACATATGTATTTATATCAGTTGTCTAGTTCCCATAGTACAAGCTCTGCTTAGTTTGGGACTAGATAGCGTTGTGTGAATGTAGTAGAATATTATTATTATAATTATTAGCGTACAATTTGAATCAAGAATTTTTGACATTACTAACAGATTAAGATTAACTTAAGTGCAGTAAGATTAAACCTCTGTTTAGAATTAATTGTGATGTAAAAAAATCTGCGCATCACTCACCTTAAAAACAAGGGCCACTTTTGTATACTGGATACCAGCTCAATATTATCTAGGGGTGGCATATCAGTAAACATGTAATAACATGTTACACCGAAAGTCACAACCAGACACAAGTTAGCCAAGAACGAGAATGGCACTAGGAACTTCAAATGACGTATTTGCGTGATGAGGATCAGGGGCAACAAGAGGATGCCGCAGTACACTTCAACTTCGTATTTGTGGTTAGGTGCAAAGGTGTCGAACAGCTGAAAAGAAAAAAAAACTGTGGTTATTGACAAAAATAAACAATATATTTTCGAACATCTGACACAACGCCATCTAGTTTCAAGCAGAGTTTGTAGTACAAGCTCTGCTTGAAACTAGATGGCGTTGAAAGCTGGTTTAACTGACAGAATAGTTTTTTTTTGGAAATACATATTATACACATAAAACACCCAAACTATTTGAAGATTATATACAAACATTTGGTCGGACCCGAGGATCGAACCAGACACCTCAGCACATCTATCGCATACAATAACACTGCACCACTGTGTTCAATGTTTGGAGTAAGTTACAAACTGCAAATTCTTAGGTTAGGGAATGGTAATCTCAGGATATAGACGGTCACTATTATCATGACATACAAACGTCAGACGTATTTATAATAAGGAAATGCTGTATACACGCGATGTGATTACACCACCAAATCCTAGGTCCTTTTGAGCTGATTGAGTAGTTCCTAAGAGTAAAAAGATTCCTTCCTTGCTATTGTCAGAAGCTATAACTTCTGTACGATAAATGCGTCGTAGGTGGAGGTTTATATTAAACCTTCACCGAACTGATTCAAGAACAACGAACTAGGCGATATAATAAAAAGCAGAATTTTAGTACGGGACTTTTCTCACGCAGATTCAAATAATTACCCTTGTCGGACAGTTTTGCAGGTTTGCATTAAAAAGATGTCAAAAACAAATTAAGTTTGGTTTCTTCTAGAAACACAATAACAAATCCTATATGTTAGTGATAGCATTACTCCGTATATTAAATTGTGGCTGAAGTTTTTACTAAAAGTTTATACATTTCAACGATATTCAAGAAGAAAAAGAAGTAAAATCTTTGGAAGGTTTCTCTGACGGTAAACAATGTTGGAAATTAACCGCTAAAAAAGTAGTGTATATTTATATATGTAAATGCTTTATTTTCTCCCAAAAAACTTTTCAAGTATTTTTTACGCATTCAGATTCTTTACAAACTAAAATAAATCAAACTCCAACAAACTCCTCTGTTTCAAGATAAACAAGATCATTTTCAGCCTTTTTCCATAAGATTTAAATAACATTTTAATATGCTCAGTGAGTAATTGATTTAAGAGAAAATATTTTGGTTATACGTCTATTTTTTTAACAAAGTAAATTTATATCAACGAAAGTTGTATACTTTAATACTGTAGTGAAATGTATGTAGTATGGCCGATAACGAACTTAAGCAACAACTCATCATCATCAACAGCCTTTAATAGTCCACTACTGGACATAGGCCTCTTCTTAGAAATGATGTTTTGGCCTACTATAACACCCATGGGATGAATAGGGTGACACTGCGTATTCCTAATCTTTCACCACACGGACTAAGAGTGACATACGAGGTTATGATTCACAACCTGCGACAAAATAAAAATAAATTCATATTGTTGTAATATTACTGTCGGTACTATGTGTGGATAACTTATTGAAATTCACAGATTGATATTTCAGATATAATCAGGTCTACAATTAGTTGAATAAAAGCAATTTTATTATCTACATTCTAACGTACTACATCTGAGATTCTAACGTGTCCAAGTTTTTGTGTAATTTATAACTTTTTTTTTGAAACTCACTGCATTTGGGAATCAAAAACACTAACGAACAACAAACTAATTATCAATTAGGAAATAGCTAAGAATACCCCATTCGTTTTCTAAAAACAAAAAAAAACTTAATAAATTCGTTTTCTGCCCACTCTATCATAGCTGATGCCACTAACAGAGACACAGATAACACATTACATTGACATACTTTTTTTCTCTATTAGGATAAGGTTTTAAATTATTAATCTTAAGACGTCCTCCTACATAATTTTTTTTTAAATCTTATTTAAAACCTCATTTAACTCGATAAATATGAGAATAATAGGTACGACCTTCTCCTTAGTACTAGACACGTGTAAACCGATTCTTGTTTACGAAAATACCTTACACAATCATATCGATAAGAGTCGCACCGATAGTGGTTACCCGTGACTATGTACAATTCTATCAAATATTTTAAAATCTGATCAAAATGTCGATTAACGATTCAGCCGCAGTTATTGAATTGCTAAGGGTCTCTTTGAACCTTGTGATTATTAAATGAAATCTTTTTGGTGCTTTTTACGTGTTCGAGGCTCGATCGAGTGTTAGTGATGGAAAGGTTACACTACACATCGTTTCACAAAAAACCTTACTGGTAGTGACAGCCCGTGAGGAAAAAAGGTCTACGGAGAGCCACGTAGTCTGGTCAATCAATATATTAATTGCACGAATTTATTGCTCATTTAGATTTCCTTAAAATATTACCTATATTTCGTCCAGAATATTTCGAACTTTTTAAATTATTAGCTTTAAAATAAGTATTATAAACTTTAATGCAATTCTAGATCATAATGAACTGTAAAAAACTGTATAATTACACACACCACATTTAATTATGACCAAACGGGAAGTATACCTTTCTAAATGTCCGTGTGGTGACGGATTAAGTATACGAAGTGTCACCACCCCTAATCATCCCGCGGTTATTGTAAGAGCCGACTAAGGGAGCAAACTACGCAGGACAATAGCGCTGCCAAAGAGAAGGAAAACATGACACAAACCCTATACCACTCGTCTTGCCAGCGTGATATAGTAGGCCAAAACATCATTTCTGTAGAGAGGTCTATACCCAGCAGTAGAATATTATATGCTATTGATAATGATCTTCACTACATAGTATAAAACAAAGTCTAAATTGAGAGCAGACAATTACTTTCACCTTCAGGATGCTTTACAGGCTAATGAACACAGCAACGGCATTGGACTGTTGGTTATACTACCTACATCATTCACAGGTGGACCTCGATATTTACATGAAAAATAGCAGGACGCAATGACTTATGTCAGACATTCCGGTAAACGTGATTTATTTATAACTTCAACCCATGTTACCCAATTTGGCCAGAAATCAAAGAAAATATTAACACCAATTTAACTACAGAAGACAGATACGGTTTAGTTAACAGAGTCTTCCATTTAAAAGTACAGAAACTCCTGCACCCACTAACAAGTCTCATTTATTCGGTCCGCCGCGTTGTTATATGTACACAATAGAATGGCAGAAAGGTGCTTCGTTTGCCACATGGTCTGCTGGTGTGGTTAGTGAACAAAATTAGACCAAATGAAATTGACAGCGTTATTTCAGCTGAATGACCGGTTAAAATGGAAGATCCTGTCCGGTTCGAAATCGTCAAGAAACACATGGTACACGGCCCTTGCGGGACTTTAAACCCTTATTCTCCATGTATGCGAGATTCCAAATGTAGCAAAAAAAAGTCGTTCCTAACTCCAACATCTACTAGCGATGACGGATATCCCAAATATCGTCGACGATCGCCAGAAAAGGGTAGACAAAGTGCCACCGTCCGAAACCATGATATTTATAACCGATGGATTGTTCCCTAATCCGCTCGTTTTGAAAAACTTTGATGCCCACATCAACGTAGAGTTGTGCAGTTCAATAATAGTTAATCCAATATGTTACTAAATAAATTAATACAGGTAGCGATCAAGCCACTTTCAGCATACAATCACCAAATAAAGTGGAAATATATCAGTCTGGACGTTACATCTGAAGCTCTGAAGCAGTATGGAGGATTTTATCATTCGAAGTGCACGTGCACATTCTGTGGTGTATTTACGAGTAGTATCAGCATTGCACCCGTGCGAAGCTGGGGCGGGTGTTAGTTCTGAATAAAAAAATAAATTTGCAAACGGAGTTCGGATACAAGAAAAAACAACCGAATTGAAAAACTCTTTCTTTTTTTGAAGACCTTTAAAAGGTATATTGCATCGTACAGTTTATTATTTATTATATTTGAGCAGAATAACTACGCTCGTTGCTCTGTCTTAATTTATGCAAGGTCAGATTTTAAATCAGTCAAGGCACTGTTGAACGTAACACTACTACGTCGATTATGACGCCAGTAGCAATTACTTCATTTCCTGGCGGAGTGTTTTTATTAGTAATTCAAGTCTATTAGTCTCTTTAAATGAGTATGATCCGCCCGCAGTCTAAAGTAGCCTATGTTACTAGCTGAAAATGTAGCTTTCCATAGGTAAAAGAATTTTAAACTCGGTTTAGTGGTTTAGGCGTAAAAGCGTAACAAACAAGCTCACTTACACTTTTATAATTATAAGTTTGGATTGATGTAACGATGTTTTTAGAAACGTTCAAAATCTCATAACATGTAAACGTAGTTCCTTGTGGTAACGGCTTTGGAGAAAAGAGTTGTTTTATCTTAGAAACAATATTTAATTTTGTTTGTATTACCTCCGTATTTTATTTGTCTTTTGAAAATTTGGTAGATACAAATTTAGCTGACAGGTCATTTGAATAAATATAAAACTAAATTGATAAATACACTATTATTCGAAATTCGAAAGATCATAATCTTCTGAACTTTAGTCTCGAATTTCGAATCATAGTGAACTATTTGTACATTCTGTGACATAAATTTTTTAAATTTTTGATTATACGCTTTCACGATTTATGAATGGGCCGCTTATTTCACACGATTTTAAGGTCATCGCTCTGAAGCCGTAGAATAACGTTATTTACCTTATAAATTTCCTAAATAACTAATCTATTCAATACAAAATTATTATTTTTCAAATTGACTAATAGATCGCGAGATTATCCAGAACAAAATCTTCTGATTTCTCATATTGGTACACATTTTATTAAAAAAGATAAGACCAAACAAATCGTCACAGTTAACGAATATGAGTAACAATATTTTAGGATAGTTTGGTACAAAATCCCTCTAAGATATAGTAAGTATTGTCATTAGTTAGCTAGACTATCAAGCCTGTTTATTAAGCCGACCGATATCTCGAGAGATTTGGAGAAGTACATCCAAATCTCTCGAGATCTCAAACAACATTTATCCTTTATAAACGTATTATGTATATTATCCTCAGTAGACTCAGAATCACAATACATACACTTAAATTTATATTTACATTTCAATCCCAAAAGGTTTATAAAGGAAAAAAAATGTATAACCTACAACGCGTTGTGGTAATCACAGAAAGAACACATCGCTAAAATCATGTTAGAAAAGAGTTCAGTTAAAAGGTTACAAAAAAGCCATGACGCATTCTGAGCAGTAAGTAGTTGAGTTAATTATCGGCTTAAGTGCAACGAGACCATATAAAATATTTATTCATTTATTCTCTTTTTTGAGAGTCAACATATATGTACATACTGTGTAAGCGATATGTATAAGCGATATTTACCATCAATAAAAAAAAAATGTTTTGGGTTAAATTACGTGAGTTGGTGGAAACAAACACTGAAAGTCTCATGATTAAAAATTACAACTAGTAGTATTAAAGTAGTAGTGGTATTAAAAATTGGTGATACTGAAAAGATGGTTGAAACTTAATGTATTTTTTATATAAATGTTTATATTGTGTACGTAAGAATAAAATAAAAATAAAATGGTTGAAACTAGAATGGCAAATAAAGCTTAATCTAGCAAAAAGGTGCACAGTTGAATATTCTGGAAAAAGCAAATGCAAATGTCGTACACAAATGTTAGACTAGACATAGTTTCTTCAGTGCCCCAATGCATAGTGGTCGTGTTCCGATTTTTGTTACGTGGTCTTTCTGTTATTGCCACAACATATTTCATATAGATGCTTTACAAAATAATCTTGGACGGTTTCTTTTATTTAGAAATAATAAAAGAAACCGTCCAAGATTATTTTGTAAAGCATTATTATACTCACGTCTTTAAGTGATGATGCGATAAATATAACATAGACACTCGTGCCACCCAGACACACACCAGCCATAGCAGCATCAACGAAGTGTCTGAAATATAATATTGTTTTAGGATCGTGCTAATAGAATTTAGAATCTAAATACAGACTATTCTGCAAACTTGATAAATACATTTAAACTTAATAAATACACTTCAAAGTTACAGATCTGCGCCATAACGTGATGTTTCATAACCTTGTTCTCAATAAATACTCTACCCAATACGAAAACCAAAATTCAAATAACATGTGTTTAAATAACTAGAAACCTCTTCAGTTTGATTATAATAGTCTAGACATTTAAAAAAGATGTTTTGGATTGTTGGCATGCTGTAATATAGTAGACCTTGCACCTACCGACTATTACTTTTTCCAAAATTTGGACAACTTTTTAGTGGGTAAAAAAATCCCCTAAGGCAAAGTAGGCACGTGCCTAGAGGCGCGAGGTTACAAAGGGGCGCTCGCGTAGTTCTTTAATAAAAAAAATATATGCCTTTTTTTTAAAGACAACTCCCGCATTAGGACAAACATACATGAAATGGACGTAAACAACACCCAGATTCAGAACAACAATTTGTGGATCACACAAATTGTCGTCTAATGTGGGGATCCGACCCACAACACTCAGCGTAGTAGTAAGCGGCGTGGCGACCGCTGAAACCACTACGCCTTTCATCATTCTCATCTATGTATGATTAAAGTTGTAGATCTTTTGCTAATCATCGTGGCCATTGTGACTAGGACAATGGGTACTCATAGTGTGCCCGTTTGCGTCTAAGTCCGCTGATTACTAAGATCCTAGCAATTACTTATAATAAGTAACTACTTTTTATATCTTTGTTCAATAAAGACTGTAACAATTTTTAATAGGGTTAAACTTTGTGTCATTGAACCGCAAATATCAATATTATTTTTGACCCATTTCAAACGTCGGGCTTGTTGGTCTAGTGGTTAGTGACCCTGAATGCTAAGCCGGAGGTCGTGGGTTCGATTCCCACTCAGGACAAATATTGTGTAATGAGCACGGTCATTTGTTCTGTGTCTGGATGTAATTTATCTATAATATGTATGTATTTAAAAAATATATAAGTATGTTTATCAGCAGTCTGGTTACCATAGCACAGGCTCTGCCTAGTTTGGGATCAGACTGCCGTCTGTGAGATGTGTGAAGTTGTTATTATTTTATTATTTCATCTATGGATCGATTTCAGACTCATTAGAAGTAGCTGTTCTGTTTTTAATATTAGCTAATAATTTAAATATGTTGTAGTTTCTTTTATTAAGTTTGCAGTTTATTGGTTTTACTTTTTAAGGTTCTTTTTATTGCTTTTTGAAGTTGGTTTAACGGTTTTCAAACTGATTATTAAAAAAAGGTACCTACTGGGTTTCTTTGTTATTTCAGAGAATATTATGTAGTCGTACACGTAAACATTAGAATCATATGATAATAGCTAGGTATGACGTCACGCAAAAATGTAACGCATGCGTTTCGTTTTGGCGTTCAATAAAAATACTCTGTTTTGACATGCCAGTCATACACCCCATTAAAAATACAGTACCACAATGCACGTAGTATATTCTTTAGAAAAAGGATCTATCGAACAAAAATAAGTCATACCTTACGTGTTTGGAATAGGGCCGCACCTTCTTCGGCCCTAGCTTGAATACTCCTTCACAAGTGTCCGTGTAACTTAATAAAGGCATTTTACTTTCTTTGCAAACATCCCGTGAAGTAGAGACCTGTGAAAATAATGTCGGTTTAATTAGAAAAGGCATGGAATGGCAATAAGGGATGTTAGTACAAGAATCCTTTTACCTGGCAGAGCAAAGGGAGGTTTATGTTTTTGGAGTATACAGGGTATAAAAGACGTCGTAACGAATACTGAAATAATGTATTCAGCCTATCATTGGAATCGAAAATCATTGGAATTATATGCCGGACAATTAAACGTTTTATGCAATCGGTTGTCAAGGATTAAGTTCATTCACCGAAGGTATATCACAAAAGTAATAACTACATTAGTATTCCTTGCAAACACTCTGTATGTGTGTTTCCATAGCACGCTCTGTACCCTAAAGGGCTTGATGGATCGGCGTTTGAGATGTCGTTAGATTCATTTTAATTGCGAGAGTGAGTAAGTATATGAAAATAATAAAAGATAATTTTGCTGATTTCTAAATGTTAGTACTAATAAATTTTCGTGCAGTCAGGTTTTTGTCTTTTTTCTATAATTATTTTGTTTTGCTTGTTTAGCTATTACTGACAAACGTCTGTTACAAAAAAGACAAGATTTTACTGTCTCTGATTTGTTGATATAATTAATTTAATTAATTACGTTCTTATTTCAATCTCTTAGCAATATGACTAAAAACTGCTATGGATATCGATAATAATAATATAATCGTTACCCCAAAACACCAAAAATTTGTAGTGACTTTAAAAAAATAGTTCCGCCTTTTAAATAATTAATTAGAAAAGGAATATTTTTAAGTGAAGGACAACCAATGCCTCGCACAACCAATCTGTGAAACAAGTTATCGTCTGCGGTATTTCCGGACCGGTACGACCTTCAAAGCTTCCAGAAAAGAGCGTACTCCTTCCTCAAAGTCTGGCAACGCGCTTGTGACTCCTGAGTTGCAGGCGTTCATGGGCGGCGGTAGTCACTTTCCATCATATGACCCCTCTGAACGTTTGTCCCCTCTTCCGTAAAAAAAGGTATATTTTAGGATAAAAAAATGTCGCCTATGAGGTTTATCCTTTAATTAAGTAGCATAAATAACAGATTAGCGGCTACCAAGCAATGTACTGTAGCTTTTGCGTCACAGAAACATCAAGGGTCTACCCTAAATAATTCATAAGGCTAGTCTTTAGATCTACAATTCCTAAAATACCTTAGCTATTAAATTTAATAACTTAATGGTACTCGGATTATCCTTTAAAGACTTTGCTGTATAACATTACCAACTAATTATGCAGTACCTAAACAAGTGTCGTGAAATAAGGCGGCAAAATTATGTATTTTTTTAACGGCAGTGTTGCTAGTTTAAAAATTTGTGTTTTTGTAGATAGAATTTAAATCGGTAACATATTTAATAATTACAATTAGTTTTTAGTTAAAGTTGGGGAGTACAGATTTTCCGTGCTGAATATTTTATAGAATTTTATTTGTTCTAGTTTTATGATATTTGTTTTAGTTTACTTTATAAAAAAAATGTTCAAAATTTAAATGTATTTCTGCTTCTAGTGCAATGAAAATAAAGGAATAAAACATCCCTGTGTACCATTTCTTTATTTTCTGTAAATCTTCTTAATACATAAGAAGAAAATAGAAGACAGAATATAAATGGAAGAAAATCAGAAAGAAAAAAGTTAAAACGTCGTAGTAGCCTTTCATCGTGGACTTTCCAAACACGGGACGGAAATACGGGTACACAGCCCCGTACCTCTAAGAGGTGCTACAGTATTGAGTCTCGTTTTTCATTTGTAATTTGACGTTTCTCTTACCCTGTCTCTCTCGCTCTGTTCTTTTTCTCTACCCTAATTTTACTTCTTCTTCTGTCTCTCTCTCCCCCACTCCCTTGAAGTCTCAGTCTAAACTTACTTAAGAATGTGATCGTTCTGCCGACTGGCAGACGACTGTAGAAGACGTCAAAGCGACCTTAAATTCTATAATAATAATAATAATATAATTTATTGTCTCCAAAAGTTACGTACAGGGAAAACACACCTGAATTATTACAATCACAACATGTACACTAATTTTGTTGACCTCTGGTACCCAAAGTGAGATTGAACTTCTGGTATGGGTACCAGGGCTCTGGTACTTAATTGTAACAGGTAGTTGATGTGAAAGTGTTTTGTATCGTAGTTGCATATGCATGAGGTGAATTGTTTTGAGGTAAGAATAACCTATTAAAATAATATTAAAATTAATAATAATAATAATATCTCACACATCTCACGCACGGCCATCTGATCCCAAACTAGGCAGAGCCTGTGCTGTGGTGACCAGACTGCTGATAAACATACTTATATATTTTTAAATAGATACATATTATAGATAAATTATACCCAGACACAGAACAAATGACCGTTCTCATCACACAATATTTGTCATGGGTGGGAATCGAACCCACGACCTCCGGTTTAGCAGTCAGGGTCACTAACCACTAGACCGACAGGCCCGTCGATGTATATAATTATAATTATCTAGTAATTAAATTATAAATAATTATATTTATCGTATTATTATATGTTTATATTTATTTTGTTACAAAGTGTTTATATTAGTGTGTGTGTATTTGGTGTATTAGTGTGTGCGTAAAGGATGCATTTGAATTCTAATTGGAATAGAGCAGAAATGATGATAATAATGATGATTAACATAATATTTTTACTCACCAATATATGCACACAATGTGTAGCAATGATACCGACTAGTACAGTTCCGATACATCCTGGTATGAGTCCCGTGTTACTGAAAGCTGCTGGCATTGATAGTAAACCTGATCCCAGTGATGATTTCAGCAAGTGAAAGAAGGCCCCTGAAGTCCTGAGGAAAAAAATTGATGACTTTTATATAGTTTCATCTTTGTTATTACCTGTTGGTGTTTAAACCTTATGTGCTTAATAATATGGTCGGTAATCGATTTTAAGTGTTTGGTTAAAATATTAGTGCTTATAAAATATATTTTTTTCTTCTAAAAGGACAACTGCCGGGCTTAGAATATATCTTGTGTCTTTACAACATACATACATGAAAGTGACACAGAGAACACACAAACTCAGAACAACAATTTGTGGATCACACGAAGTGTTGTCCATGTAGGGATCGAACCCACAACACACAGTGCAGTAGGAAGCGCGAGGTGACCGGTTAAACCATCCGTGGAAGTAAAGTGATATTATGATATTCTAATTCATCGAAAAAGCAATAAAATAAAATAAATGTGGATTTTATATGTACGTCTAGAAGTAGTCATAAATATTGAATGGTATGAGAAATTTGTGTTAAAATGTTGCAAAGAGTAAGGTTTCTTGGCCAGCACACATCATTAATTTAAGTACAAAATATTTATATAATTTAACAATGTTCCAACAAAGGAGCAAATACAAAGGTTACACAATATTAGATTATTATTTTGATGATTCTTGCGAAACACAAATACCGATATATATGTTCATATGCATATGCACAAACAATATATGTCATATTCTTAGAAGTTTCTAGGTTTGTTTTGGGTAATTGTAATTGGCTATGTGCTGCGTTCTACTATTCTCTATATATGCTAATGTAAAATATTGTATTATATATATATTTTTATTAATTCTTATTTTTCTGATATAAACACGTCAAAAAAATATATTTTACAAAACCTTAATAGGCTGAAAAGTATCAATTATAATAGTGCAACGTATTGCTCCGTTTGCGGCTTAAATATTCTACTCAGTTCATGTGAATTGTATTTGGTAACATGATTGCCGCCATGGTACGGAGCGAGAGAGCGTGGAACTCTGCCGTCTCCTTCTGCGAGCAAGTTATGCTTGCAAAGGAGATGGTGAAGCGGAACCGGGAGAGATTTAGAACTCTCCCGGTCCGCCAGGCCCGGGAACGGGCCGCAGACAACTCAGGTGCCAGAGGTCGCAGGACGACCTCCATCCTCCATAAGCGCAGGCCTGAAAGAAGTGACAGGTGAGGCCATCTGTCACCCTCGCAGAAGCAGGCCGGAATGGGTGGCGACGCGCTACGGAGTGCGCACACTCTCCGGGGGCATGAAGGGAACATCAGGTTTCCCACACAGGAGAGGGTCATCTACAAGGCGTAGATGGCCTGAGGCACGTCGGGGTACCAGGGCTTTTCTTTCTAGGGTAGACCTGGTTCCTCGGCTACTGGTGCCTGGACACGGCGTGCGGTTTTTGGTTGCGTCGAGTCCGACATAACCACTCCACTGGTGGGTGGTATCCGAGGGGAGTTCCGCACAAGGAAAAAAGGTGAATTCTATTTTTATATTTATATGAATAATACCGTAGTGAGATATTGAGGGCAGTACTTCAGTTACAGTCTTTATAAAAGATAAATGATCGTCGAACGAAACATCCAATTTTACTCAGAACTTTTTCAACAAGAAGCCTCTTCGATAAATTTTGTAACTGGCAGCCGCCAGTATAAGTGGCGGCTGGTAGAATTTATCGACAGTTTTATCTAGAAATATGCAATTGGTACTTGGTACTATTGTTTAGTTATTCGCTTTTGTTACTCGGTGGTAAATTTGGAATTCTAGCAAATAAGATTTATATTTCTTTTTTTATTTTTATAAAAAGACAACTCCCGCATTAGGAATATATCCTGTGTCGGGGGGGACTTTACAAACATACACGAAACGGACACAAAGAACACCCAGACTCAGAACAACAATTTGTGAATCACACAAAGTGGTGTCCCATGTGGGGATCGAACCCACAACACTCAGCGCAGTAGGAAGCGGCGTGACGACCGCTTAAACCACTACGCCATCCGTGCAGTCAGTAATTTGAACTATTAAACTATTTAATTCTTGCCATGAGTAAGTACTTGCATTTAAAGTTTTGTTACGATACTTTGTATACGTGAGAAGTAACGCGATCGTGTAAACATGTATAAACATCAGTTTTATTAGTACCTATTACTTGATAATTTAACCGGTTTACACTGGCATTGGGGACAGGTTAATTCTTATGAATAAACTTAGTTATCTACCAAGGAGATTGAAAAGAATGTGGAAGAATATTTTAAAAATTAGGACGCCGCTTGTCATATTAAGTAAGGTTCATTTATAAACAGAACTGGAGCTGGGAACTATTGAAAATAGGTGATTATATTGTTAAACATAATAACGTGTTTTTAAATGTTGTGGAAAAACGTGACAGCGCTGACGGCAGCGTCTGTTTATATTATACACATATAAATAAAAAAATACGTCAAGTATCTAGCAATTAGTTATACTACAATAAATTGATAGGTAGGTTTACGTAATTTGAATGCGTCATGCATACATTAGGTAAGCCGTGAGTGTAGATGTATCGTAAGTGTCTAGTCGTAGTGTCTACTCATTAAATGATAGAATTTGTTTATATCTTTTTGCGTTAAGAAACTTCTTTGAAGTAAAAAACAAGACATTTTACCGTCATCGAGGTAATCCCTAATATTTACACATCAATGCATATGCCTGATATTAAATTTAGATTAATCATCAATAGACTAAAGAAGGAAACGAGTATGAAACTCAAAGCTACTTACACAGAGATAAGGAGACTACTGACCATTAAACTAACTATTTACATAGATTAATTAGTGATTAACAGGAATTATAGGAACCACAACTCTTTTAATATCGGTCCAATATAAATTAATTACTATATCAATGCAATTTGACAATCTCAAGAAGAATATTTGAGTAAATAATGACAGTATTTTTGTACTAGAGTTTTAATATAATTAAAAAAATTAATGTTGTGACACTCAAATCTAAAAATCTGAAATAAATTAATCTGAAAGTTGGCCCATCAAGAGAACGGATGAGAGACGCCTGAACCTAGCCGAAATGCAAATGCTGAATGATGTGTGGTGTGACTCGGATGGACAAGGTTAGGAATGAGTATATACGAAAGTCTGAAAGTAGCGCCACTGGATGAAAAGTTAAAAAGTAATAGGTTGTCTTGGTATGGACATGATGAGGAAAATGTGGGGAAGAAAGTGTGGGAGTTGAAGGGTACAAGAGAAGAGGAAGACCAAAGAAAAGGTGATAGACTGTGTGAGTGAGGATATGGCCAGGAAGGGAGTAACCAGTGAGATGAGGAATAATAGAGTAAGATGGAAGAATCATACTTACTACGTCGACCCTAATTAAAATTGGATTAAGGGCAACTTTTGACACAAATCTAAAAATCTTTTGCAGAATACAAGTATGTCTGCAACCGAACGAACAATTCTGCACCTATCTGCCTTTTGCACTAGCAAAGACAAAAAAACTCGTCTATGCCAGACATAATTCCTAAAAATTACTGAACGTATATAGATAAATGGCGATTTCAGGGACACTAATGTTTTAATGTGTGAAAGAACTTAAAAGGCACTTACAAACTTTCATAGCTATAAAAAATACTCCGGTAAAGTAGTTTGAATACAGTGATGTCTCATACAAATGAGATGTCCTATCTGATTTTATTTTTGATTGAGACTTTTGGATCTTGAGGTCACTATTTAAGTTTGGGTCGTCTTAAAACTATTATCAGACCTTTTATTTAGATTGTTCTCTCAGAAGTTTGCGATACATTAAGAATATTGGTTTTACTTACGATGTTGGATGTGCCACATTTCTATGTTCGAAGGGGTCGTAGCCATTGTTTGCTTCAGTATCCTTATCAGCAAGCGTGATAGTAGATTGTGTTGTAGATGTCGGTACATTTTCGACGCTGCCTTTAACACTGGAAGGATATACATTTGAATTAATAAGTTGTCCGTGTGGTGACGGATTAAGAATACGGAATACACCCCTATTCATCCCGTGGGATAAGGGAGCAAACTATGCAGGACAACAGCAGTGCAAAGAGAAGGAAAACTTGACATAAACCCTAAACCAACCTGTCTAGCCAGCGTGGTATAGTAGGCCAAAATCTCCTATCTAACGAGAGGTGGAGGAGGAGGTATGCCTTGCATATAAGAATATTAATACCCCTGTTTAGAAAGTTTCCAGTATCTTTTTCACTGTTCTTGTAAATCTGCTTACCAGTGGATTTCTGTAAGATCGTGTTATTACTCCGGTAGAGCCGGGTATGTGCCAAACTGTGCATTATTCTCCAATGAAGTTTACGGATAGGCAATAGTTCTTGTTACTGTTGAAGTACCGTGATCGTGTAAGTAATACCTTCTTATTTTTATTCGTGACAACGTGATATTATAATCATTATTCTACAATAGCTTATATTATGCTTGCTAATGATCAAAGAAACTCTGTATTACTGTGAAAATACATATCACTATTAATTTATTTTTACACATATGTTAGGATTAATTTGAATTTAATTTTGTATCCTACTAGAAGAATTTAAGAGTTCTTAATGACGAAATTTAAAGATACTATTATTTGCAATTTATATTTTTCTCATGAACTAACTCACAAAAACCCATCGAGCAGTTCCAATTAACCTACAATCATCTGTTAAGAAGCAAGTACGTATATAGAAAATGTCATTGACCGACTTGGCGAAGGTCATTTTTATATTTTATTTAAATCTCCATTAAGTATGTCATGTGTAAAGTTAGTAATAAAAAGTAGGCAGGCAATGGCTAGTCTGTAATGTTTTGCATCAGAAGTAATTTCTAGATAATGGAAAGTTTTGAGGAAAAATAGGAAAATTTAAATTTTTCAAGGCTAGTATTAATTTATTTTTTCGACACTGCTTATAGAGCTCGGACAGTGTGATGGCTCGGGGCATGGCTTCCAGGAGGTCCTGGAGCTCGCCGAGTCAGGGGTGGCTTGTTTCACCCATAAGATCAGCGGTCTGGGTTGCACCTCATAAGACGGAAGCCATAGGTGGTTCATAGTGGGCACGTTTCCCACCCTTTGATATCCTGGCGGATATGGACGCGAGGGTCTACGACCAGACTTGCGTGATCCGCCGGGGTGAGGGTGGGGAAGACCAGGATGAGCTCGAAATGCGGCGGAACGCCCACCGACAGGCACTGGTGCAGTGGCGCGCACGACTGGAGCAGCCGCGGAATGCGCGCCAACGCGCTGTCGGTGCCGTTCTGCCTAACCTTGAAGCTTGGGTAGGTAGGGAAGGAGGTTGCGTCACCTACCGACTGACGCAGTTACTCACTGGGCATGGTTGCTTCGGGGAGTACCTGAATCGGATTGGACGCGAGGAGACGGCACAATGCCAGCACTGCGCAGCCGACTGGGACTCCGCCCAGCATACGCTGGAAGACTGCCCCTCGCGGGCGTCTGAACGCGAGGTCCTGGTCGACCAAATCGGACGAGACCTGTCCCCGCCAGCAATCATAGCTGCCATGCTGGCGGGTGAGGAGGGCTGGGGCGCAGTGGTCTCTTTCTGTGAAGCTGTAATGCTCCAGAAAGAGACCGCTGAACGGGATCGGGAGAGGGCCGATCCCGAACGTAGAAGACGTCGGCGGCGATATCAGCCGTCGACGGGGCCGCGGGCCTTCAGAGAGTGAGGACCTCTGGTGGCAGATTGATTGCTGCGGTAGGGAATGGAATGGCCGGCCTGAGTGCATTAAGATGCGATCGGGCCGCCATGCCGTGATTGAAGGGGGAAGTGTTCTCCCCTGGGATAGGGCCTGATTAGGCATGGTGTCAATTCGGAGAGGACCTGAAATAACATGGTCCGGGTCCTCCCCAGAGTAGGACACCTAAGGCCGGCCGTCGGGGAGGTTTTTAGTGGAATCACCACATACTCCTGGCTCCTGAGTCCCCGAGGAGCCGGAGATCCGAAGGGATTTTCTACACCGTCAACAAAAAAAAAAAAAAAATGGTGGTTCATAGTGGGGGTCATAGTGGTTCCATAGGAAGCAGGAAAAAAGGAGTGGAAAGAACAGAGATCGAGTTCGGTCGGCACATCAAATACCTCGGCCTCGCCCTGGACAGCCGCTGGAGCTTCGAAGAGCATTTCGAGCGGATGTTGTGTGTGTTGTGTGCGGATGAGGCAGGCTCCCTACAGAGACTGTTGCCTAGTCTAGGGGGTCCACGGGAGGCAGTTCGCCGTCTCTACTGTGCGGTGATACGATCCATAGCCCTCTACGGAGCGCCGATATGGGCTAAGCGCTTATCGGCCTCCTCTTGCTGCCGAGCTAAGCTCAATCAATCAATCGAAGCGGGTAGCGGCCATTCGGATGGTACGGGGATACTGCACCATGTCGTCGGAGATGGCGACAGTCCTGGCACGTTACCCGCCTTTTGATATCCTGGCGGATTTGGATGCGAGGTCTGACCTTCTGGAAGACCAGGATGAGCTCGAAATGCCGTGGAATGCTAACCGACAGGCACTGGTGCAATACCGCGCGCGGCTGGAACAGCCGCGGAACGTGTGCTGTCGGTGCTGTTCAGCCTAACCTCGAGGCTTGGGTAGGTAGGGAAGGAGGTCGCGTAACCTACCGACTGACGCAGGTACTCACTGGTCATGGTTGCTTCGGTAAGTACTTTAATCGCATCGGACGCGACAATGCCAGCTGACTGGGAATCCACCTAGAACATGACGACCGAATGGCGTAGTAGTTTGTGTAACGGACTGCTATTCCAAAGGTCGCGGGTTCGATTCCCGCTCAAGTCAAACATTTGTGTGCATGAACATTTAATGTTTGATTTGGTCTGGGTGTTTGTATGTATGTATTTACAAAAAAATACTATATATGTATTTATATCACTTGTCCAGTAGCCATAGTACAAGCTCTGCTTAGTTTGGGACTAGATGGCGTTGTGTGAATGTGGTACAATATAACATAAAAAAAAAAAAAAAAAAAAAAAAAAACACGCTGGAAGACTGTCCGCGTGGGCGTCTGAACGCTGAAATATAATTTTCCTGCTATTGCTTTCCATCTTAGCAATATTGAACTATTTTCTTAAATACTGAACTCCAAATTTTCCTATTTAATCCCTGCACAGGAAACGGAAACAGGATTCTCATATTAAAATAGACGGTAAACTGTGGGTGTTTATTATTCATCTCTTACACCTTCGGACACATGGGTGTATCTATACTACAGATTTTAATAGAAAGAAGGATTTAGCCTACTATACCACGCGGGCCAGACGGGTTGGCATCAAAATTGTGTCAAGTTTCCTTTCTCTTTGCAGTGCTGTTGTCCTGTGTAGTATGGTGTCATAAGAGTCAACTAAGGGACCAAACTATAGGTGTATATTTAAGTATAAAAGGCAAGAGAAAACAACGACTGCCTAGAGGTACATGCAACATACATACAGGAAATGAAGGAGAAAGTGGCGTCGAGACCTATCAAGAGGTCAAACAGGTCGCAGGAAATAGAGGAGTGGCGATTGATAGTATGCTTATTAACATCCTCCAATTAAGCGAAGTGGTTGTGTGAGGTATGGGTTTATGTCAGCCGCATGGTCGAGGTTTGAAGCAACAACCATATCTAACGTACTATTACTGTTCTTATATAATTGCTTTTCAAAACCTGTTTAATACACACATTTTAGATAAACTCATTAGTATCCAATATCGGTTTTAATGTTTTAACGTGTAATTCTTATACAAAATAACTAGATCTTAGTACTAATAAGACTTGGAAAGTATTTTGACTAGTTCCATTTATTGCAAATGGCAATCTTACTTGGGAATATAATGAGAGACTGGATAAAGAAAGAAAAATGATATATTATGATCATCATCATCATCATCATCAACAGCCTATAATAGTGCTGGTGCTGCTGGACATAGGCCTCTCCTTAGAAAGGAGGTTTTGGCCTACTATAAGACACTGGCCAGACGGGTTGGTATAGGGTTTGTTTCAAGTTTTCCTTCTCTTTGCAGTGCTGTTGTCCTGCTTAGTTTGCTGCCTTAGTCGGCTCTTACGACACCCACGGGATGAATTGGGGTGGTGACAATTTGTATTCTTAATCCGTCACCACACGGACGGGCGTCAGAGGGAGCGAACGGGAGCGAGCAGAGTAGCTTGATGAGACGAGATTGAAAAGCCCAGGGTCATAAACTATCCATATTAATGCATATTTACTATCCATATTCTACAAATTCTGTGTAGTTTATAATATAATATTTCATTGTTAAACTTAATAACCTTAATATACCTAATCGTCTTCCATTTAAACTTAAGTGGAAAATGTAAGAGTAAATTTCCAAGGTCTTGTTATTTATTACTCATTTAAATATTGTTTTCTGGATCTTAATTTGTTTAGTTTATTAAGATATAAATTAATACCACGCAATTTCTCTCTATTACTTTTCAGAAACTGTTTGCGCATTAAAACGAACTATTTTTAATTCTTGTAGAATCAATAGATATCTACTAAAATTATAAAGCCAAAGAATTTGTTCATTTCATTGAACGAGCTAATCTTAGGAACTACTGGTTCGGATCGAAAATCTTTTAGTGTTTGATAGCCCATTTATTGAGGAAAGCTTTAGGCTGTACAACATGACATTGCGACCAATAGGAACGGAGCACCCATGAAAACTGTTGCCCGGAAATTGTGTTACGAGATTGCGTGGGTCAGCTGGTATTAAATATACGACACGTGATTTTTATCGTCAAAGCGTAATGTTTGAAAATCAAATCAAAAACAGATGTATTTCATACATTCGAAGTATATAAAACCTTGTACCGTCGGTGCTGTTCTGCCTAACCTCGAAGCTTGGGTAGGTAGGGGAGAAAGTCCCGTCACCTACCGACTGACGCAGGTACTCACTGGTCATGGTTGCTTCGGTAAGTA